AATAGAACACAGTTACAGTAGTGCCTAGAACATCTGTGTCAACTTCCTCCACCCTGCCTGTCTGGAGATTTTTGCCGCAAGCCTGTTAGGCCTATTAAAGGCAATTTCTTTTTTCCTTTCTTCACTGACCCTTCATTCAACAAAAATTTATTGAGCACTTACCACATCACCTGGGTGGTGCAAACATTTGACATGCTCAGCTGCTAGCCAAAAGTTTGAAAGTTCAAGTCCACCCGGAGGGACCTGGGAAAAAAGGCCTGGTGATCTACTTCCAGAAAATCAGCTGTTGAAAACCCTATGGAGTGCAGTTCTAGTCTGATACACATGGAATCGACATGAGTTGGAATCTACTCGACAGCAACTGTTACCACGAAACAGACACTGTGCTACAAAGAACAATTCCAATCATGCTTCGTGCTGGGGCCGGAGTGATTATCTGAAGTGAAACAGAGCTCTGTTACTCGTCTTGCAGCTCTCCCATTCTCCCAGAGTATAAAGTCCAAGTGCCTCAGCATGGTATTTCATACCCTCTGCAACTAGACCTATACCCTCTTCTGCAGCTCACCCTACCTCAAGCCCTACTCAACAATGGACACTTTTCTCAGCTGCCCACTCCCCCATCTCCTGCTGCCCAGACTCTCAGCTTTGGCTCTTGCTCTCTCCCTCTGCCTCAAACCTTCTTCCTACTTCTGACCCTCTTGTCTGTCTCTCCAAGACCTAGCTCACCGCCACTTCTTTCAGGAAGTCTTTCTGTGCCCCCACAGGAACTTGTGCTTGGTTCTATTTTACACTGAATATCTGTCTGCTTCTTTCTCTACTAAACTTTCAGTTTCTCAAGCGCAGAGAAACGTCTTAGTCATTTTCCACATCAACACATTTTGCTGAACTGCATTTTGTTCTAAGTACTATGCCACCTGGTGGGACTCTTGCCTGCAGGTTTTCCCATCTGAGATGTCCATGGACTTCATCCTGCTTCCAAGTCGTTAGCTTTGACCTCGCAGCAGCTGGCAAAGAGCAGGGCTGGTGACTGCTGTGGAATGAAGAATGTTCCCTGGTGAACGTACGTCATCCACGGTATGTAACATTTTACAGCCCAGCTGTCGGCACAGAACCCATAAAACCTCATCAGGATGCAGTGAGGAGAATACAAGTAGGCAAACAAAGAAGGACAGCAGGACATGTTACTGATGTTACCAACCACCACATTACACTTAGAAAGAGATTGTGCTAGGAGCTTTCGATCTGCTCCCACCCTGGAAATCTTTCAATGCTGGACATAATGAGATGAAAAGGGCATCCAAACCCTCTGCAGCTCCTGAAACCAGTTCTATCTTGCTTCACCTAATGCTTGAAATAGCTAGTCTTTCTTAATTTGGCAGCTATTTTAACCATTTTACTTGTATGGGATTAAATTGCTAAAAATCCATTCTTTCTTTTTATGAGACATTGTTTGGAAAATATGTGACGTGCTTACTCTTCTCTTGAAATCACAATCCCCATTCAAAAACCACATTAAACACAATAACAACACAAAATAAAGATATTTTCTACCTTATAAAAGAGAATCAGCAAAGCTGTAACATAATGAAGGTTTGAAGCCCTCAGCTTTGCTGGGCAAACTTGTAAATTTCCACGACATCATCTTTCCAGGGCCATGATTAAGAAGGAATGTGCATGTTATAATGTGGGGATTGAGACACATATCTGAATGGAAGGGGAAAGGGAGATTTTATTGTACTTTTGATATTTTGGTATTGCTTACATTTGTAATTCAAAGATCTGAAATAAGAACTATTTAAAATTCCTACAGCAAGAGTGGAAATGACATGTTGGTCCTCCAGCTTCTTCAAGAATACTTGACATTTGTCTCAGCCAGTGGTCCATCATCTCTGTTGATCCTTAGCTCTTTCCTTTCTTCCTCCAACCCTAGGCCCTCATTACAAACACTTTGGCAACCATTCTCTCTGTGTAAGAGCAATGGTAAACCAGAGGAGAGCTTTGAGTTTGAACAGGGTGGTAACATGGTACTAGAGTGATAGCTTGCAGAGGATAATCTGGGAATGATGGTAAGTATAGATGAGTGGACTAGAAACTGGAATCAGAGACTGACTAGTTTACTGGACTTTCTAGGTCACGTGTGAACCATCTTGGGTGGCAGCATATTCCAGCTTAGGCTTCATTTTACATAACACATCTTCTTAAGACTCTTAGTGGCCAAGTTAAGGGAAAAGGTAAAATCCAATGGCCTGAAGCTGACAGTGTACACAGCAAACGTTATGCAGTCAGAGGGAAAAGTAACCTACAGAAGGAGTTGGAGACCATGTCATAATCCTTCTACAGTCTAACTATTGGCAGTGTGGGAAGACTAGCTGGTCCATCTCCTTTCCTTCCTTCATGTATCATCACGTAAAAGCCTCTGGGCTAGTGTCTATGCTATGGGGCAGGGCTGGAATGGGTTTTCCATTGTCAAGCAGGTGGTAGAGAGGACAGAGAGGGTAGCACGTAGTCCAGAAATTAGCTGGAGTCTCCAGGTTACAGAATTGCATTTTTTGTAGTAGCTGGGGTCCCTGGAGCGCTCGCCAATGTTGGCTCCAGTCTAGAAGTTATGTTAGTACCGCCAGCCACTTTGGCATCTCTGGAGTTGATGAAGTGGCTGCTAGGCTCTTAGAATTTAATCCATATCTTATTTGGTATGTGTGTGTGTGTGTGTTGCATGTGCGCAAGAACACAAAGATGTGTTTTTCATTTCCCTTCTCTGCTCATACTCGCTTTTATATTTGCCCACATATTTACCGTTTCCAGTGTTCATTATTTTGTGTAGATCTGAATTTTACTCGGGTTATCATTTTCCTTTAGCCTGAAGAACTTCCCTTAACATTTCTTGTAGTGCAGGGCACCCCTCTCTTCAGTTTCCCTGGCCCTGCATATACCTTCTACAACTTAGACTCACCTTGGGGAGAAGTGGGGAGGGTGAGAACCCTGAACTCACTGAGGGTCTTCTGAATTGACAGAGATGAACCCACATTGAAGTGGAAGTTGTTTCTGCCAAACAGAATGGGGAAACTCAAGGTAGAAATCAAGGTCAATGTTAGGAAAAATTTTTTTAATTGTCATACATCTGAGTTTATGTACTGAAAATTCATAATTCATATTATCAAATTAAAAAAATTTGTCAACCTGATGAAAAATAATATTTCACTGTCATTTTATTTACATTTCTTAATTACAAGTGAGGATGAGTAGCATTTATATGTTATCGGGAGGCATTGTTTTTAAATTATCACTGTGCCTTTGAATCCAACCTATAACTTGGGATATTCTAGGATCTGTAGGCAGTCCCTCGGTGGTGCACATGGTTAACGTGCTCAGGTGCTAACGAAAAGGTTGGAGGTGTGAGTCCACCCAGGAGCATGTAGGAAGAAAGATCTGGCAAACAATCAGCAATTGAAAATCCTACAGGGGACAGTTCTACTCTGACACAAATGGGGTTGCCTTGTGTCAGAACTGACTCTACAGCAACTGGTAGGATCTGCAGGTGCACCCATGCTGTTCTTTTTGCCCTTAAAGTGAGTATATTTACAGTTCTCCAAGCATCAAATAGACCACGTAAGAGACATATTCCTCTAATTCAAGTTGATCTTCTACCGTTCTTGTATGTTTATGCTGTTTGTCATGGCAGTTACATTCTTTATCTCCATAAGTCTTCTCCTCCCTGCCCATGCTTTTCCTGCTGACTGGCTTCTGGAAACAGGGCCCGTGGCACAGGATCTGTTACTTCCATCGTCTCTTCTTGATCCCGATACTTTAATAAAATCAATACATACTTCCTTAAATATAGACTCCATGTGGACAGAGGTGAGTTATTCTCCATGTAGTGCTATTTCTGTTATATTTAAAACAGCCTCCGTTTGCTTGCCTTGCAGGGGTATTACCCATTTATAAATTATTTTTATTAAAAACAGAATGGAACACAAGATTAAAAAAACTACTCAAACCCCCTCCTCCCTCCCCCCTCCCCGCTCTAACACAACTGTTAGTTTCATTCTTTGATATTAGCACCCGGTCCTTGCTCACCTGTGTAAACATTGTATTGGTTTCCCAGGGCTAATGTAATAAAGTACAACACAGGGGGTCGCTGACAATGACAGAGATTTGTCGTCTCACAGTTCTGGAGGCTGGGAGTCTGACTTCAGAGTGTCAGCAGGGCCGTGCTCTCTCTGAAGGCTGTAGGGGAAAGAGCCTCCCTTGTCTCTCCCAGTGCCTGGGGGCCCAGGAGTTCCTTGGCTTGTAGATACATCTTCACAGGCTGTCCTTCCTCTAACTGTCTCTCTATGTCTCCTCTCCTTTTATAAGGACACCACTCAGATTGGAGTAGGACCCACCCTACTCTGGTTTGACCTCATGTTAACTAATAACATCCTCAAAGACCCTATTTCCAAACAAGGTCACATTCACAAGTACCAGAGGTTGGCACTTCGGTATTTTTGGGAGCACACAATTCGATCCGTAATAGATATATTGTTGTTGTTGTTGTTAGCTGCCGTTGAGTCAGCCCTTGCCTCATGGGGACCCCATGCACAACAGAACCAAACAAGGCCCGGCCCTGCACCATCCCCATGATTGGTTGCAGACTGGACCGTTGTTATTCATAGGGTTTTCATTGGCTGATTTTCAGAAGTAGATCACCAGGCCTTTCTTCCTAATCCTACTTCTTTCTTCCTAGCCTGGAAGCTTCACTGAAACCAGTTCAGCATCTTAGAAACATGCAAGCTTCCACTGACAGACAGGTGATGGCTGTGCATGAGGCTCATTCATTGGCCCAGAATCAAACTTGGGTCTCCTGCATGAAAGGTAGAATTTCACCACTGAACAACCACGTACTTATAATGCTGTACCATTAACCAAGCATTTTCCCCTGTGCATTGGACATCAGTCTGCTATATTTGATCTACAAATATCATTAAGTTATACAAACAATGACATTATTAATGTGTGTAATTCTTGGCTGCTCTAGAATTCAAATATCTTCAGAATTCTATATTCCACATTTTAAATTTTATATATTTATTTATTCAACAAATATTTATTGTGCCAGACACCAGGGGTACAAATATAAATAAGACAGATACTGCTCCTGCCCTAAAAGATCTTACAGTCTAGGAGACAGCTGGACATCATCATGTAATGTTCATGCACTTACCCATTTGAGCCGTGTACTCATGTACAGCTAAATTTTGCACAAGCATCAACATACAGGGTACCTAGTGGTGCAGTGGTTAAGAGCTCGGCTGCTGACCAAAAGTTCAGCAGTTTGAATCCACCAGTCACTCCTTGGAAACTCTGTGGGGCAGTTCTTCTCTGTCCAGTACGGTCGCTATGCAATGGATTTGGTAGGTTTCTTAATGATCTTGCTAATTATGCACAGTGGCCAGCCATGGCGGCTCTGTATGTGTTCTGGTTGATCAAGTTACTTCCTCGAGGCTATGAAAGCAGAACCATGACAGGAATCCAGAAGAGTCACAGTCCATTTCTGCAGTTTAATCTCCAGACAGCACTCCCTTCCACTTCCTGCCACAGGACGGCTCCTCAGATAAAACGCCCTTTTGAATGTGAAAAACAATTAAGCATTGAAAATGTGAGAACAAGAAAACACAAGATAAAAATAACCCTTCTTTTGGGTCCACAAGCAATTAGAACTCAACTGCTTGCTTCACGAAATGTATTCTTAACTGATGGCTTTTACTAAAGGTGGTGTTTCTACCACATTCTATCCTTTCTGTACTAGACTGCATTTCTAATGAGAACATCATCAAGATAGTAACTCACTGGACCACTTAGTCTAGTTTTTAACTCTAGGCCAGTTATGAGGAAATCTGCTTTATGTTCTAGGCCAAGAACCAATCATTAACTCTTTAAAAAGCACTTTTAAAACTTAATTTTTTAAAAAAATTAAAACTTACAAGTTGAACGAATAACATAGTCAAGGGAATGGCACAGACTCTGGCAGGACTACGAGATGCTCAAGGGGCCCAGGCTTGTTTGAATAAGAAGCACTCGCTAGCAGCAGCTGGGAAGGGCACTTGGGCCAGGACAAAAGCTGAGAGACCTGGGAAAGGCAAAGGAGAGAATAAAAATAGAAACAGGCTCACATTCTCCCAGACAAGATTCTCAATGAATCTGTCCTTCCGTGAGTAAAAATATCTAATCTGAACTACAACCCCACTGACAAGCTTTGGGGCTTTCTATTTCTCAGCACTGGCACCCTGATAAAGGGCTGCAGCATTATGAATGCAAGAAATGAGGGGAAGAGGAGAAACTGGGGGGCTCCCCGCTTCCTTCCTTTCTGTGCAGACAGTCCTGGAGGCTGTGTGGTGGTTTCCTAGGAAACAGCTTGGATGTGAAACTCCAGAAAATGTGCTGTCAGGCGGCAGGAGATGCAATTGCTGCATTCATTGTGTGAGGCCAGGCCATTTTCTTAACCGGCTGAGCCTGTTTCCTTATATGGAAGGAGGAGACAATATCTACTTCTCAAGTGTGCATGGGCGTGTGAGCGTGGGTGTGTGTGTGTGCTCAAAGCACCTTAGCTGGTGTTGGAGAACACAGGATTTGCTCCCTTCTCTCCTACTCACCTTACAAGCATGGTGAATTTAACAGGCACCATTGAATAAATGGGATGTAAAGATGACAGTTTTGGTAATGAATGAGAAATTGATTTGATTTTTTTAACTGGGATGATACTTAATAAGAAAGTTGATTATGTGACATTAGATGATAAATCTTTTGTAAATTGAAAAACCATTTTAAAATGCAAATACTTTTCATTATCACCTTTGTAAATTTGAAATTTTATAATCAAATGTTTTAGATTCTCTTGGAATAAGCACAACTACATAGTAGAGGTCTGAAAGTCTTGATAAATAACACTATCTTTTTCTCTGCTCGAATTCAGAATCCAAGGAGAGATTGACGGGGGTCAAACATAGCAATAGCAAATGGCAGCATTATGACCGATAACATTCATAGGGAGAATGCGACTGAATGTGCAGCTACAACGAGCTTTTTAATGCTGCACCCTAGAGTTTGAGAGTGTCCACGCTCCTGTCACAAGCGGCACTGGACAAGGGCAGCCACTGCCGCCTCTCTGCCCACTGGGGCTGCGTTTGCTCGCTGGCCCCACACCTCCCACCCCCTGCTCACTGGAGGTAAGCGCGGCCTGAACAAACCCTCTCTGCAGCAGACCCCTATAAACAATGCAGTATGTGAGAGCTTGTTGGCCATGTACGTATTCAAAGGCTTCGAAGAAGTTAAAACTAGAACGTTGTAATTTAACTAATGATGTGAATGCCCCGTGGGCCAGCCCGGATCCCACTTCGGGACTGTGGCACTGATTTCCCCAGCTGCTGGGAGCTGAGCCCCTGTCTCAGAGCTGCCTCACCCCAAATCACAGCCCCTCCTGGGGATAGCCTGTGTGCACAAAGGCTTGGCCCCCTCACCTCAACTTGGGCCATCTCTGAAGGGCCCCCAAGAAGTCCCAGAAGCCCTCTTGGATTGGTTGAGACCTTTCTGGCAACTGCCCAGTTCAACTTCTTTCCCCGACCCCGCTTCCTTCTTTCTCCAACATGCTTCTGTTCAGTCTGTTTTCTAAGGAACTGAACTAGGACAATTACTTTTCAAAACAGCTAAATCATGCATTTGATTGTAAGAAGGTGATGGACTCCACCATACAGAATTATATCATGTTCTTCCCTCATTTTTCTTTATGTTTATATGATCATGTTTTTCCTCTCAGCTCTTTTTCAATTCCTTCTCTGTAGAATTCCTATTACAGCTTTCCCTCGCTATCTGAAAGTAGAACACTCCTATGAAGCCTTTCGTAAGCTGAAACAGCATTAAGTGAAGAACAATTACCATTAATTTAAAGCCTATATAAAGCAGAAATAATACACATATAGTGTGGTTTCAATTACGCCAATCAGGAAGACAGTGAGCACACGGGAAGGCTGAGAGGTGGTGGTGATGACGGTAGGCCCAGTAGCCTAGCTGGCAATATCCCATGCGGCTGGGTTGAAGGGCTGGAGTTTGAATCCTAAAGAAGAGTGGGATTTATATTAACTGTACCTGCCAAGGGATGAGTTAGAGAAATGCACTGGGGGCGACAAGTCGAGGCTAGGATCTCGAGATGCATGGTGCATTTATATGTCACCAGGCATTTGATTGGATGTGGCTGGGTCATTCAATAAGCGTGGGGGAGTTTGAAAGGAGGAGCTTGGTCAAGCCGCTATGTAAAATGGCGGCAAACACATTGATGTAGACACTTTCCGGAATGTCTTGCTTACTCAAGAGGAGTGAGAAAGGCTGTGGCTCTCCTGCTGAACAATATTTTTGCTTTTCGTCTCTTTTCGTGGAAGTGAAAATCTTCAGATTTCTTTCAGTTAGTGAAACCATGTACTAATGTAGGTCTTTCGTAAAAGTGAAGTGGTGTGAAGCAAACTTTGAAAAAGCAGGGGATACCTGTAATCTAATCTTGAATTTCCCAGGCTAGTCTTCTAATTTTCTTATCATTTCTTTCCTATTTTCCATCCCCTTCTTGTTTTACAAAGAGCCCTGGTGGCACAGTCGTTAAGTGCTCAGCTGCTAACTGAAAGGCTGGAAGTTCGAACCCACCAGCCACTCTGCAGGAGAAAGATGTGGCAGTCTGTGTCCATAAAGACTGTAGTCTTGGAAATCCTATAGAGCAGTTCTACTCTGTCCTACAGGGTTGCTATGAGCTGGAATTGACTTGATAGCAACGGTTTTTTTAAAAATTTTTTCTCTGGACTTCCAGGCAACATGGCGCTATAGGCAGAAGCACCATGCCGTCCCTCCACAGCAAAGATCTGAAAAACTAAGCCAAACAAAGAAAACGGCAATCCTTAAACTCTAAGCATCAAATGAAGAGATAAAGAACTCAGCCAAGCACAGAATGGATTAAGAAACTGATAGAGAACAGAGAGTGAGGAGAGATACATGCAGAGGTCCCCTAACAGCTAATGCAGCATGGATCCGCCATAATGGACTCCTATCAGAGACCAGTGAACAGGGGGTACGAGAAAGCAGCTTCACAGAGCTTCCAGAAGGAGACAGAACAACTGGTAACCAGTGATAGACACTTTCCCACCCCCCACCCTTCTTCACCCCTACTTGGCCTCCTCTGCTTCCTGCAGCCACAGTCTCTTGGCCAGGAAGAATTGGCTTCACCCCAGTGTCACTTGGATTCCACCTGCCTGCACTGGCCAGCTCCCTAAATGCCATTTGTTGGCTGCTGGTGTTGCTTTTTCCACTCTTTAGATTTCTTCCTTACCTCTCACCACCTCCCCTCCTTTCTCTCAAATACCTGGCTCCGTGCACCATCTCTGTTTCTTCCTGAAAGGCTGTGAAACGCCATTCAATTGTAAGACTGCTTCCCAGCCAGTGCTACCATGCAGGTGGGATCCTGGGGCTTTTTGTTTGTTTGTATTGAATTGTTTGTTTCTTTGTTTTCTTTTTCTATTCTCAAATTGGGAACCCATTCTAGCCAGGCAGTACTGCGTGGCTTGGGACCTACCCTCTCAGTTTGCGCAGACACGCAGAAGGATCCTTGAGAGCATTTCTTTTTTCTTGTTTTTCTGTTTTTTTGGGGGGGATTTTTCTTGCTCTTTTTTAAAAATTTGTTTTGTTTTCTTTTCCCTTTTTGTCTTCCTTCATTACTTAGTTTCTCATCTCTCTACACCTTCCTTCTCTTCCTGTCCCCTGAATACCTGGAGCCGAGTGACATCTCTACAACTTTGAGCCAAGCTGTACTTCACAGCCTGGGAGCAACTTCCTCAGACCTCGTAACCACACAGGTGGGAACCCCAAGGAGCTTTTCTTTCTAATTTTTATTTACTCATTTTTTTCTTTTCTTTACCTTTTTTTCTTCTTCTTCTCCTTTTTGTTTTTCTCCATTTCATAGTCTCTCATCTCTCCCCTCCAATGGCAAGCTCCTGTAGCACTCTTTTTTATTTGTTTGTATATTTTTGGCTCCTGTTCTTCTCTCCTCTCTCTCCTCTCTCCCATACCTATCTTAGTTCCACATATCACAGTCTCCCCCTCCATCCTGCCTACCTGCACCGTGCGCTGAACATCACACCACCAAGCACCACACACATGGCCTACCGGAACCTACCCTGCACTGATTACCAGCCTGCCCCAGTGGCCGTAGTAAGTGCCACGAACAACCCATCCCAGCAAATCCTCTTCAGCTAGACCTGCCCTGTTGTACCATATCTGAGTAACTTACCCTGCCAATTGGAGAAGGAGGTGAAAAGTATCATGCCCACAGACAAGCAAACAACAAAGAACACACTACCTGCCTGCTCAGACATAGCCAAATAAAACAAAAAAAAGGATGAAACAATCAATAAACGAGAAAAATAACTACCGAATGCCCCAAAGATAGCAGACAATATCAAAACATTTACAAAAACAAGACAGGATGGTTCCAGTAGACTTCCAAAATAAAACACCAGATGACTTTCCAGTAGAAGAAAAGGCATTAGAACTACCTGATAGGAAATTCAAATCTCTAATATACAGAATTATCCAAGAGTTGAAGCAAAAAGCAGACAAACATGAGGAAAAAATAGACAAATCCATGGAAAAGGCAGACAAATTCATGGAAAATACAGACCA